GTAAAGAAATAAATTATGAGAAAACAAAGTCAAACGTATCAGGAAGGGATCGAAGAAAAGAGTAATAGAAGCAAAGAATGAAAAAACGAGAAAGGAAAAACAAAACTCAACCAAGAACGGAGAAGTCTGGGGGTTGGGAGTGGGGGGCATGGTAGGGCTCCATCTGCTCACAGGGTGGGCTGGGAGGGGTGGGACACAGGCCCTAGATGGGGTCCTGCCAGGCTGTATGTCACCAGGGGTCAGGATCAGACCTGGAAGAAGTTCAGCCTCAGATGGTGTTTATGATCAGGGTTCTTGTTTCCCGAAGAAACTCTTACAGCGTGGGGGCAGGGCAGCGGGGTACAGAAGGAGTCCCTGTCCATCCAGGGAGGCCAGGGACCAGGCGGTCCAGGCGGTCTGATGGTGGGGGGGGGGGGTCGGTCAGTCCACACGAGTGCTGCACCAGCCCTCCCCCAGAGTAGGGCTGTCCTGTCGGGTGGCCGGGGTGGGGTGGGTGGAGCTGGGTGGAGGGGAACAAGTCACCTGCTGCTCGGTGGGGTGGTGAGTGTGGGTGCTGGACACACGTCGGGTTGCCACTTTTCCTGTCACAGCGCAGTGCATCAGGCCGATGGCAAGAGTCCACCGTGGCCGCGCCTTGTCTGCGCCTTGTCTCCTCGCCGCTGTTGTTCAGCGTCCACACTCGGTTCTCGTCCCCTCCTCTGCGTCTGCCCTCCCCTCTGGGGCGCAGGGGTCCAGGGCCAGCCTCGCCAAGGCCTTTGGTTTCGCCACCTTCCAGGAAGCCCTCTCGTCTATTATTGTTTAAAAAGAGACTGTTTTATGGAACAATTGGGAGGACAGCGTACTCCTCCCGTGTGGAAGCAGAGTGTGGTAAACGGCTTCCGTACAGTTACAGCCAAGTGCAAAGCCCCAGGGAGCCCCGACTCTAGGCCTGGCCCTGCACGGGCGGGGGGGGGGGTGTTGGTGCGCAGCCTGGGGGCCACAGCTGCCCTCCTTTCTGGCCAGCGCCGTGTCGCTGTGCGGTGCCATCCTTGAGGGGTGGACTTGGTGCTGGCTGAACAGGCCTGGGAGTCCCCTCGGGGCTGGGCCGGAGGCTGGATGGCACCGGCACCGGGAGGGGCGCTCTGCCCTGGGCACTCCGAGCTCTTGGGGGATGGAGAGACGGTGACCAGAGTGCGTCTGCTGGTGCCCGTGTGCACTGAGGGGTAAGAATTAAGTTAGCGCGTTTCACACGGCATGGCAAAGTGGACAGGCTACGATTTTATCCGGTGGAAGAGGTTCAGTGCTCAACTTCGAATGAGGGCGGCGGTTCAAGCCCACCGGCTGCTCTTTGGAAGAAAGACGAGGAAGAGTACTGAGGTAGTTAGTTTATTGGGCCGGGCCGATAAACCCAAGTGAGATTAATTGAAGGGCAGAGAGATAAATGGCTCAGCGAGCCTCGCCTTTCTTGTCTCTTGCTCTTTGATCATCGGACCAGTGTGCGACTGCGACTGCTTTGCTTGTTCTCTGCCTCAATTTGCAAGCCACACTACCTGTGGGGCACCTAACCCATGGACTGTGTCGCTGTAATTTGAGGTTCCTTCAAGACTTGCTTCGCCACCCCATTGGACTTTACATCTCTTGAACTGGGGACTGACTGTTGGTGACCGACTGTTGGTGACCTGGCTGACTGTTGGTACCTGCCTTGCTGTTTGCTGCCTGTGCCCGGGTAGCCTGAATCTCTCGACAGAGGACTACCTGGCGGCCCTCAAGACTTGAAGGACAGCCAGTGTCTCACAACTGTCTAACATTTGAATTGTACTGAGCCATTTGTACTGCTTTAAAATTTAACTGTTTATTTCTTGTGTTATCTCTCTCTCTCTCTCTATATATATATATATATATATAATAATTATATATATATATATATATAATTATTATCAATCTGACTTTGTCTTTCTAGAGAACCCTGTCTAACACAGTACTTCCCCGAAAGTGTCCCCCCTAAAAAACTGACCGGAGCATTTTGGGGCCAACCTCGAGGGTCACTAGGAGTCGGAATTGACAGCAGTGTTTTTTTTAATCATACTGCAGATAATCCACAGTGGCCCCTTAGGTGAAGCAGCCTAACAATTTTGAGTTTCATCATAAGTAAATTGGCAGATCCTTATCATTTAAATACAAGAAATAAACAGTTAAATTATAAAGCTGTACAAATGGCTCAGTACAATTCAAATGTGGTCACCCATTCCTGGTGCCAGGGTGGTGTGTTCAGGGGCACCTCAGAAGGGAGGAAGGATGAGAGCAGCCTGCAGTCCCACTCCAGGTGAGGCAGACGTGAGGTGCACCCCAGGTATGTGGGTGTCTCTCCCTCAGGGTGCTGAGCTCTGTGGCGGCTTGTGCACAATCTGCAAGCACAGTGGGTGATCTGTGGACGTCTGTGCACCGTCCACTGCGTGTCCTGGGCTGTCCCTGGAGTGCTTTCGGAGACACTAGCTGTGCCACTGCTACTGCTATGTTAGACTGTGGGCGATGGGTGAATTGTGCCTCGAACAGATATATCAGCCCCACCCGGCTCCGAATGTGGCCTTGGCTGCAAAGAGGGTTTTTGTGATAGTCCTGTGAGATCAAACCGGAGTCAGAACCCCAGTGGGGAGGCCTTGAGGGAAGAACCCCCGAAGCCAAGGCCTGCCAGCAGCCGTGGGACCAGGCAGGACCTGCCCATGTGGACATCTGCGAGCGTGTGGCCCTGCGGCACCTGAGTCCTGACCCTCTGCTTCCGGATCTTGGGAGAAGCTGCTGTCTCAGGAAGCCCTGGAGGCCAGCCCACCATGCTACTGTCAAGCCCAGCCTCTCCGGTCTGTGTGGGGCCTCTGCTGCCCCTTCCTAGCTGGGAGGCCTCCCAGTCCTGGCCACCTGACAGCCAGGGGATGGCTGTGTCCTCGGATGAGATGCCTGCCCTGGGGAGCTCTTCAGAGTGTGGAGCTCACAGTGGGGGCACGTGCAGGGTCCTGGGGGGTGTGGGAGTGAGGGGTGCAGAGGGCACACAGGTGGCCTCAGGCACCATGCTTGGTCAGGTTCACCACTCAGCTCTGAGGGAGGGCAGGGGGACTGCCTTCGTTGTGGGTCCCTTCTCCACCATAACCCCTCCTTCCCCCAGCTTATGGGGGAGGCAGGGCGGGTAGAGAGGCTCTGGGGCATCGGTGCAGTGAGGGGACATGGTGGCCTTCCAGGTCCCACAAGTCCCCCCAGCCGGAGTCCTGGGCTGTGTGCTGGGCTGAGGGTAGCAGGGGTCGTAGGCAGGTGGGCATGGGCCTAGGGCCAGCTGAGGCCTTGGGGGCAGCTGTGGGTCCAAGGACTGCTAGGGCCTTGGGGGCAGCTGTGGGGGCTGTGGGCCCAGGGACAGCTGTGGCCTTGGGGCAGCTGGGGGGGACTGTGGGTCCAAGGACTGCTAGGGCCTTGGGGGCAGCTGGGGGGGACTGTGAGTCCAGGGACAGCTGTGGCCTTGGGGCAGCTGTGGGCCCAGGGACAGCTG